ACTGTAGGATCGTCCTCATTGAGCAGGGCTGGAGGCGGTGCTCGAGCACCGGCTGCTTGCTGATGTCGAGCAATTGTCCTTGCATTTGCGTCCTGTACGGACTGTCGAAATGATGGAGACTGTGCCGTAAAGATTGGCATCAAGTCCATCCATGCTGCCTTCAATCTCATGAGAAGGATTTCGAAAATGAGGAACTCTTGGTTCTGCCTTCTGTGGTTGAAGAAACTGAGGAGTCTGTACAGATACACGTTGGTCGCACCTTTCAAAAAGTACTTCTTCAGCGTGTTCTTGAAATAGTTGACTCCTTCATCAGGATCTTGCCAAAGGTCATTTTGGAGGACGGCCTTGTACATGTAAGCATCTCCAGTGAGTCTGCTCTTAAGCAATGGACCTCGCTTGGCTGCTTCTACTGTGGTGATGGTCACCCAGTCGTCCACGAGTTCTTCATACCTGAACCAGCTGACTTTTCCGTCGTACGATGGCGGCTGCTTGGCGGTCATCGATAAATTTAGTGTTTGCTCCGTACAGCCTGGATTTTTGGCCATACTTGAATAGGCTTCCATGAAGCCTTCTCCATCGGATGACATCTTCCCTTGGAGAAAATGAGCAAATTGAGGCCCACTGCCCCAAGTGCCTATTTCAGAAAGGAACTGGCACCCTGTGGTAGTAGAGGTCATTGTTTTGGTCCCTGGATCTATTCCGGAGAGAATCCAGTATGCCACCGTGGATGATTGGAGGATGGATTGTCCCTGGTGGATTGTGTTGTGGATAATCCTGTAAGCGGCCTGCTAAGGTTCTTTTGCTTCACGCGATCATGAATGATGCAATGTTACACAAAAGGGGCCTTGAACCAAACACAGTGTGCTGTGTGTCCCTTGTGTGTCCCTGTGTGTCCCTGTGTGTGGTGGTGTCCTGGTGTCCTGGCCAGCCTGGAGCTGGAGACACAGGTCATCCGCGTGGTGGTGTCGCGGTGGTGTCGTGGTGGGCGTGTGGGAGTGTGGGCGTGTGGGCGTGTGGGCGTGCGTTGTGGGCGTGTGGGCGTGTGGGCGTGTGGGCGTGTGGGCGTGTGGGCGTGTGGGCGTGTGGGCGTGCGGGCGTGTGGGCGTGTGGGCGTGTGGGGCGTGCGGTGTGCGTGGGGGCGCGGGGCGCGGGGTGTGGGGCGTGGGGGCCGTGGGGCGTGGCGCGTGGGGCGTGGGGCGTGGGGTGGGGCGTGGGGCGTGGGGCGTGGGGCGTGGGGCGTGGGGCGTGGGGCGTGGGGCGTGGGGCGTGGGGCGTGGGGCGTGGGGCGTGGGGTGTGCGGCGTGGGGCGTGGGGCGTCTGCGTCTGCGTCTGTGTTTCTGTCTGTGTCTGCGTCTCTGTCTGTGTCTCTGTCTGTGTCTCTGTCTGTGTCTCTGTCTGTGTCTCTGTCTGTGCCTCTGTCTGTGTCTCTGTCTGTGTCTCTGTCTGTGTCTCTGTGTGGTGTGCGTGTGCGTGTGCGTGTGCGTGTGCGTGTGCGCGTGCGTGCGCGCGTGCCGCGTGCCGCGTGCCGCGTGCGCCACGTGCCGCGTGTGCCGCGCGCCGCGCGTGCCGCGTGCCCGCGGTGCCGCAGCGTGCCGCGTGCCCCGCGCTGCTCCGCGTGTGCGCGTGTCCGCGTGTGCCGCGTGTGCCGCGTGCGCCGCCGTGCCCCGTGTAGCCAGCGCGCCCCGCGTGCCCCGCGTGCCCCGCGTAGGCGCGCGTGGCGCGCGTGGCGGCGGGGCGGCGTGGCGCGGTTGGCGCGGGGCCGAGCGCGGTGGCGCGGCGGCGCGGTGGCGCGGTGGCGCGGTGGCGCGGTGGCGCGGTGGCGCAGTGGCGCAGTGGCGCAGTGGCGCAGTGGCGCAGTGGCGCAGTGGCGCAGAGGCGCAGTGGCGCAGTGGCGCAGTGGCGCAGTGGCGCAGTGGCGCAGTGGCGCAGTGGCGCACTGGCGCAGTGGCGCAGTGGCGCAGTGGCGCAGTGGCGCAGTGGCGCAGTGGCGCAGTGGCGCAGTGGCGCAGTGGCGCAGTGGCGCAGTGACGCAGTGGCGCAGTGGCGCAGTGGCGCAGTGGCGCAGTGGCGCGCGCGTGCGCGTGCGCGTGCCCGTGCGGGTGCGGGTGCGGGTGCGGGTGCGGGTGCGGGTGCGGGTGCCGGGTGCCGGGCGCCGGGGGGGGGAGGGAGGGGGGCCGTCCGGGTGCCGGGTGGACGGGGGCCAGGGGGCGCGCGCGTGCGCGCGCAGTAGCGCGCATGCGTGCGTGGGCGCGTGCGCGCGTGTGCGCGTGCGCGCGTGTGCGCGGGTGCGCGGGTGCGCGGGTGCGCGTGTGCGCGTGTGCGCGTGGTGCGCGCGTGGTGTGCGCGTGGTGTGCGCGTGGTGTGCGCGTGGTGTGCGCGTGGTGCGCGCGTGGTGCGCGCGTGGTGTGCGCGTGGTGTGCGCGTGGTGTGCGCGTGGTGTGCGCGTGGTGTGCGCGTGGTGTGCGCGTGGTGTGCGCGTGGTGTGCGCGTGGTGTGCGCGTGGTGTGCGCGTGGTGTGCGCGTGGTGTGCGTGTGGTGTGCGTGTGGTGTGCGTGTGGCGTGCGTGTGGCGTGCGTGTGGCGTGCGTGTGGTGCGCGTGTGGTGCGCGTGTGGTGCGCGTGTGGTGGGCGTGCGGTGTGCGTGCGGTGCGCGTGCGGTGTGCGTGCGGTGTGCGTGCGGTGTGCGTGTGGTGCGTGTGGTGGTGCGTGTGGTGTGCGTGTGGTTGCGAGTGGTGTGGCGTGTGTGTGCGAGTGGTTGTAGCGGTGGTGTGCAGTGGTGTGCGTGCGTGTGCGTGTGGTGTCGTGTGTGTTATCGTGTGGTGGCGCGTTGTGGTGAGCGGGTGGTGTGCGTGGGTGTGCGTGTGGTGTGCGTGTGGTGTGCGTGTGGTGTGCGTGTGGTGCGCGTGTGGTGCGCGTGCGGTGCGCGTGCGGTGCGCGCGCGGTGCTCGCGTGGTGTGCGCGTGGTGTGCGCGTGGTGTGCGCGTGGTGTGCGCGTGGTGTGCGCGTGGTGTGCGCGTGGTGTGCGTGTGGTGTGCGCGGTGGTGTCGTGTGGTGTGCCGTGTGGTTGCGTGTGGTGTGCGTGTGGTGTGCGTGTGGTGTGCGTGTGGTGTGCGTGTGGTGTGCGTGTGGTGTGCGTGTGGTGACAGTGTGGTGTGCGTGTGGTGTGCGTGTGGTGTGCGTGTGGTGTGCGTGTGGTGTGCGTGGTGTGCGCGGTGTGCGTGTGTGTGCGTGTGTACGTGTGTGCCGCTTGGGTCGCGTGTGTGCGTGTGTGCGTGTTTGCGTGTGTGGCGTGTGTGGGCGTGTGTGTGGGCGTAGTGTGTGTTGGGCGTGTGTGTGGGCCGTGTGTGTGTGGGCGTGGTGTGAGGGGGGGTGTGGTGTGTGGCGTGTGCGTGTGTGTGTGTGCGTGTGCGTGTGTGTGGGCGTGTGCGTGTGTGTGGCGTGTGTGTGTGTGGGCGTGTGTGTGTGGCGTGTGTGTGTGGGCGTGTGTGTGTGTGTGTGTGTGTGTGTGTGTGTGTGTGTGTTTGTGTGGGGGTGTGTGTGTGTGTGTGTGTGTGTGTGTGTGTGTGTGTGTGTGTGTGTGTGTGTGTGTGTGTGTGTGTGTGTGTGTGTGTGTGTGTGTGTGTGTGTGAGTGTGTGTGTGTGTGTGTGTGTGTGTGTGTGTGTGTGTGTGTGTGTGTGTGTGTGTGTGTGTGTGTGTGTGTGTGTGTGTGTGTGTGTGTGTGTGTGTGTGTGTGTGTGTGGGTGTGTGTGTGTGTGTGTGTGTGTGTGTGTGTGTGTGTGTGTGTGTGTGTGTGTGTGTGTGTGTGTGTGTGTGTGTGTGTGTGTGTGTGTGTGTGTGTGTGTGTGTGTGTGTGTGTGTGTGTGTGTGTGTGTGTGTGTGTGTGTGTGTGTGGGTGTGGGTGTGGGGTGTGGGTGTGGGTGTGGGTGTGGGTGTGGGTGTGGGTGTGGGTGTGGGTGTGGGTGTGGGTGTGGGTGTGTGTGTGTGTGTGTGTGTGGGTGTGCGTGTGTGTGTGTGTTTGCATGACAGCAGGCATGGATGCAGTCAGCCGCTCCGCCTGCCCTGCCCAAGTGGAGCAAATGAGCTGACGAAGGGAGAGGAGCCCTGGCAAAGAAGTGCGATTCAAGTGACTCACGTTGCCGGAAATGCCCAAATTTGTGAGGACATGACCCGCAGCTTTCCATTCATTAGTAGTGGCTACGCTGCCAACTACTTGGGTCATCAGGATGTGGGCAACTGGGGCAAGTGTGGGAAGTGCGTAAAGGATGGAAAGAAGCCAGCCAGTTGAGAATAACATCATTCTAAATTCCCCCAGTGCATCACGACTCAGTGTGCACCGCCCGGAGAGCCAAAACACTTCCTATCGGAGACAAGATTGAATGTACTTCCAGTGAATGCACGCTGAAGCGACGCCTCTAGGCCGGTCTCTTCAAGGCGGTCAAAGCGCTGAAGGAGTTGCAGGCCTTGACTGCGCAGAGCCTCAAGGGCAACGGCGTGTCATTGCGCGGCTCACGCTGCCCAAAGCCGTGCGCCCTGTCGGCTCAGTGCCACGCCATGCAACTGATCGGAGTGGGATTGACTGCACCTGCGTGGTGTCCAGTCTCGGATCTCCAAAGCTCTTGGGCGGTTGCGTGACGCAATCAATCACAATTTGGGGAATGTAGATTCCCAGACTGTGGCCCCACACCGTGTGCACGTGAGATCTATGGATGTGTGTTTCGTTGGGGCAGTTCGGTATTGAGTACAGTGAGATTTTGTGTGCTTTTGTATCAAGGGTTCCACATGAGGCACGAGGCTCCATTGACCAGAAAGACGTGAGGCAGGGTCTGTTGACAGAGTTCAATTGTTCGCTTTTGGCTCTGGCGCAGACTCTGGCCTTCCTTATTACCCGCGTGAGACATCTTGACCAAGCAGGCTAAAGGGTTTCATGCCAAGGCTTGGCGATGAAGGAGGGCTGGCTTGCCTTTCTTCATTTTTTGTCATTGTGAGATGCTTCAAAAAGAGCTGCGTCCAAGCCTCGAATCTCCTTTCCAAACAAATTTGAAGGGAAGTAAGGCCTTTGTAGACCGCTTCCTGTGCCAAGTGAGTCTTGGGATTTTTGTACAACAGACTGGCGCCCGTGCGGGAACCGCAATGCTCAAGACCCGCGGGCTACGAGAAAGGCTCGCTGTCGTAGCGCACGTAGCCCTCGCCATCTGAAAAGGTGTGAAACTGCGCGCCGGCGGGCATCACAAAGTCGTCCCGCCGCTGAAGCTGGCGCTGTCGATACCAATATGCTGCCTGCGCGAGGCGAATGACGTGACCTGCAATGCCTCAGTTGGGGCTGGTTTCATCCAAGGCACTGCACCCAAACAGCCAAGGAAGACCATCACGCGCACCACACCGGCCGCAGAATCATCCTGCACAGAAGCATCGGGCTGTAAATCTGCCACTGCTGTTTGAAGCGCAAAACCTCCAAAGACCGCATTCGGCATGTGCAACTCTCGTCCTTGGCCGCGGGGGGCTTCGGCGGAGCGCAGCCGCAGCCCACGAGGTCGTAGCGCGCGGGGCCCTGCGCGGCTTCCAAGGAGCAGGGCTCCACAGTGGGCCTGGCCGTGCGAATCGATGTGAAGTTGGGCATGGAGACTTGCACCACTTTGGCATTTGGGGCCTCAATCTTGCCAAAGCACATGTACCAGAAAGCGTAGGCCGGTGCGCAAGCAAGGAAGAAGAGTAAAGCCGGTGTGCAAGCAAGGAAGAAGAGTAAAGAGGAGAGCATCTTCCTGATACGGCGCCACCGGGTAGTGCCTGTTGTCGAGGAAGTATTTTCCAGGTAGGTGTTTTTCTAGTTCTGGTTTTTCCAAGGGCTGGTTTCCGCAGGGCTGGCAAAATGCCCAGGGTTTAGGGTTGGTTAAAAGTTGGTTCAGGGCCGATGTGTGGTTGGTTTCGGGTTGGCTTAGGGTGGGTTTGGGGTTGGGCTAGGGTCGGTTTGGAGCTGGTTTTGGAATGGTTGAGGGTCGGTTTAGGATCGGTTTAGGGTCAGTTTAGGTGGTTTGGGTTGAATTTCGGTGGGTTTAGGGGTGGGGTTAGGCTTGCTTTAGGCTTTTAAGGTGGCAAGGCCGGCGCTGGTTTGGAATTGGTTTAGGCTTAGTTCAGGGTTGCTGGTTTGCTTGTTTGCTTGATGCCTTTGGGTTGTTTTAGAGCTAAGGGTGGGTTTGGGATCGCTTGCTTGCTTGTTGCCTGCCTGGCACGGTCTCAGCGCGGGTCCGGCGCGGTCTCGGCGCACGGCCTGTAATGGCAATGAGGATCGCAAGGTTTGGATTGGGCAGGCGCAGCATTTTCGCAGGGTCGGGAACAGATTTCGTTGCAGGAGCAGCGCTTTCTCATGTCTGGTGCACATTTCGTGGCAGGCGCCTCACTTTCGCGAGGCGAGGTGTAGATTGCGTGGCAGGGGCAGCGCTTTTGCAAGGTGATGCGCAAATTGTGTGGCAGGCGCCTCACTTTCGCAAGGCGAGGTGTAGATTTCGTGGCAGGCGCAGCACTTTCGCAAGGTAAAGAAAGAAGGATAAAGAGAGAGCGAAAGAAAAAAAGACAGAAAGGAAAGAGAGAAATGGAGAGAAAGAGAGAAAGCTAAAGATAAAGAGAAGAGAAAAGCAAGAGAAAGAGAAAGAAATCGCGAAAGAGAAAAAAACAAAAAGAGAAAAGCAAGAGAAAGAGAAAGACAAAGAAAAGATAAATGCAATTGGAAGAGATCGCGAAAGAGAAATAAAAGAGAAAGGCAAGAGAAAGAGAAAACGAAAGAAAAAGAAAAGAGAAGAGAAAGAGGAAAAGAGAAAACGAAAGAAAAAGAAAAGAAAAAGAAAGAGAAATAACAGCGAGAGAGAGAGAGAGAGGGGGAGATAAAGAGAAAAAGCAAGAAAGAGAAAGAGAAAAGAAAGAGAACTTCAGTTTGTGTATTTCTAGAAACTTCCGGCAAGAACTCGGATTCTTAGCGCAAGAACTAGGCTCTACATGCCTCAGGCCGAGATTCAGGGTATCGAAGGGGCTTTCGAATGCGGCGCAAGTTGCTTGCACAAAGCGCTGCTCCCCAAAGCGCAAAGCGCCTATAAATTGGGTGCGGATTTATTCTGGGATTTTTTCGGATTTTTTTGGGAATTGTTTTCGTTTTTTGTCCGGGCCAGTAAAATGTCGTATTTTACAGCATTTTCTCGCAAATTTGACATTTTACACTAGCCCGTCAACATCCCCAGCATCATTTTCAACATCCCCCGCATGTCCGACCAACATCCCTAACATCACCAACAAATGGTGGTAACAAAATCCCAAAAGTAGCTGGCGGGTTGACGGGGTCAAAAAAATAATGATTCAAAAAGGAGGGCATTTCAATCCCAGTTAAAAAACAAAAACCGGGGGGGTTGGGGGGGGGGTGCCCCCCCCATGATGGTCGCAGAAGTGATGATTCGAACAGGGTTGCAATTGAATCTCTGCAAAAAGTCTAAAAACTAGCGGGGGGCAGCCCCCCCATGATGTTCGAAGAATTGATGATTCAACTAGGGGTGCATTAAATCACTGTAGAAAATCTAAAACGTAGCGGAGAGGTGGGGGGGGGCGGCGGGCCCCCCCCCACGTTGTCGGAATGAAGTGATGATTCAAGTAGGGGGTGCAATGATTCAAGAAAGGGTGCGATAGAATTTAAAAGGCAGCGGGAGGGTTGGCGGGGGTTCCCCTATGATGTTTGAAGAAATGCATACATACCAGACATACATGGATTACACAAATTACCTAAAATGTTGTATTTTGCAGCATGTTCTCGCGAAATTGGACCCTTGAAAAAGTGATGATTCAAACAGTGGTGCAATTCAATCTCTGCAAGAAAACTAAAACGTAACGGGGGAGGCGGCAACCCCCCCATGATGTTTGAAGAAGAGTTGATTCAAATAGGGGTGCAATTCTGCAAACAATCTAAACAGTAGCGGGTGGGTTGGGGGGGGTTCCCCATGATGTTCGAAGAAGTGATGATTCAAATAGGGTGGTGGTGATGCTGATGATGCGAGAAGCCAAATCCAAAAACCAATGAAAGGGCGCAAAGGCAAAAAAGCCCGAAGGATGCGAAAAGCCAAAGCCGCCAAAAGCCGCCAAAAGCCGCATAAACCTGCGAAAAGCTGCAAAAGCCAAAACGCCACCTGCCGAAGAGGAACTGGGAATGCAGAGGATGCGAAAAGCCAAAAAGCCACCAAAAGCCGCATAAACCAGCAAAATGCCGAAAAGCCCAGAAGCCCAGAAGCCGAGAAGCCAAGAAGCCAAGAAGCCGAAAAGCCAAGAAGCCAAGAAGCCAAGAAGCCGAAAAGCCAAGAAGCCAAGAAGCCAAAAGCGGGAAACAAAAAAACTCCCTATAAATTAGCCCTGTTGAGACTTGCACGCTGTCAACTAGTTCGGCAAATCACAATGTACAGATTCGAATTGAAGCCCTCAATGTTGGCAACCGTGCTCCCAACCAGCAAAAGAAATAGGCCCCCATTCCACACCAGCGTCCGGATGGATTTCTCAACAGGGCTTGCCATTGGAATCCTATTTGCCTTGACAGAGGGCTTGCAAGAGTCGTGACAACGTGAGTGCCACCCATTAATTTCTGGGCTGTGGGTCCAGTTTGGCCTCTGCGCATCTGCCCAACGTTGCAAGCGCTTGCAGGAGAAGCAGCGCCGCTGGCTGCTGCGGTCTCCTTCTGCCCAACCGCAGCCAGCAGCAGCCTTCCAATAGTGGCCCGTACAGTAAAGAAATGCAAAATGTTTAACCGGCAAATGGTGCATTTCAGAGGAAGGGCCCAACAGATAGACAGAATGTGCTGGCACCGATGAGGTGGGAAGGTTAGGAATAGTTCACTTTACAAGGTTTGCACGAGGCGCGAAGGCCTTGATTGAGCAGAATTTGTATTGAAACTGTCAACAATCGATTCACCTAGGTGTGTTGCCTATGAACTGCAGCCTGACTGTCACACTCTTCACGGAATGATTAGCTCCGCCAGTCCCAGCAAACACAACAAAACAGCAGTGGCCTTTGTCGCAATTGCAAAGAGAGGCGGTTGATCCTTTTGGGAATCAAAGTCTGAAAGACACGCTAAGGGGCTTGAAGCCTCGCCTTCACGCACTCAGCGCGGGAAGACTCTGCACATGCGTCTTCCTCTTGAGTGACCTGAGCCGCTTCCGCCGCCCCATTAATCAAAATAGGCCAAACGTTCAGTGCGCTGCGGTAATCCTTGGAACAAAGTTGAGGGCAAATCCAAAACGCACAGACCTGCCTATATCCTGCTGGCTCTCAAAGAGTGTCTGTTCTTCTTAAGGGTACCCTTTTGGTGCTTTCAAAGGGAATGCAAATGGAACAGTTTGGTGGCCTTGCCATATACTTGCAGATTCAATGGAAAATATGTTGCCCTCTTGCGCAAGCTCTGCCTTCTCATATGCTTGCCACCACTTGATTGGTGTGTTCAATGCTGTGTAGTACTTTGTTGTTTGGGACGGTGCTACAGTGACCTTTGGGATTTAGTTTCAAGTTCTGCGGCATGGTGGAACTGCTCGAGCAAGTTGGCTGGTACAATACATGGAAGTCAACATGCACTGGTTCTCATCTCAGCAAATTGTCTGCGTTGCTTTCTCGTTGTAAGAGCGTGCAATCATGCAATCCTATGATGGTTAAGATACTTTGGGCAGTATGAGTGAAATAAACATGGGAAGCTGATACAATAACTTGCCTTGCACACCAGAACCCATGGCTCCATGTCAGCTCACCTATCCGCCTGAGACCTGAGTGCCGGGCCTCTATTACCTGTTTGGCAGTCAGAAGAAGGGAGGTGTGCCCAGCTGTCGCCTCTGATTCTGCCGCCAAGCCTGCCAAGGCAAAAACTCTGGACACACAGCCCGCACTGCACCTCGCCTAGTGGCGCTGTAATTTTGGAAGCCCAGAAAGCGGGCTGCAGCGTTTCGTTCCCTTCCGCGCAGTCTCCCGGGGTGCCCAGGAGAGTGCTGACACGGCCATCCACCACCTTCGACAGGACTGAGAGTCACCCTCCGCAAGCAGTCACTCTGCATTTCACGCAAATCAAGAGTTGCCCCGCCAAGCATTTGGCAAACCAAAGCCAATTGAACTGTGGTTCTGCTAAACTTGGAAATAATGGCTTAAAGGCCTCACTAGAAACTCCAGAACCACCGACTAAGATTGCCAATACAAGCTTGGAGTTCTGCTCATTTGGAAACAGCTGTGCCTGGCGCAGAGAACAGTGGTCCACGAACAAGAGCTTGCCATGGAGCCATGCCACCTGTCCGCCATCCATCAGGGGATAGAACCACAGCACATCCGCTGACAGCACTTCTGATTTTTCGTTTTGGCCCAGGCACGAAGCGTGGTTCAAGGACCGATGCAGTCTCCAGCAGGCCATCAGCTCCCTCACCTGTCGCACACACTGACATTGCCTGTGAGGGTTTGGAACGGATGTGTGTCACGAGAGTCACGTGTGTCAGCAGCGCCTGCAGTCAACAGCTCGTCGATTCCGCTAAGGTGAAGGTTGGCGCTGTCCTGTTGCAGCTTCACCCTCACCACGGTCCGGTTCCTGGGCCAGTTCTTTTCTCCATAGCCTTACCCATCTTTAGCCGCAACTTTAGCCCACTAGCACCTCCGCAACATAAAAAGGCAGTCCTGGGCACCACTCCGAAGATTTGCGCCTCATGAACAGAGTCTGCAGGAAATGCCACCGCCAGGGAGCCGTAAAAATCTTCAGCCTCCTGGCAAATGTGAGACCAAGAAACATACAGCAAAGTCTAGAACAATCCACGAAATGGGTCTGTCTTTCGTCCTTGAACTTTTGGAGCAAGGTAATTGGTGCCTCGGCTGCAACCAACATACTCATGGCAACTTAACGATCAGCGCTGAAGCCTTGATTACTGATTAGGCTAGAATGTCATGAAAGTCGTTCGTTGAAATCCTAGGCTATTCGTAGAAACGATGCACGAGTGTCGGGGCAGCCCCACAAAAGAAAGTCAAACCATCGCGTGTCCCTGTCGACAGTCAGTTGACTATTTCTCATGGTGTTCTTACCTCGGCCCAACGTTTTTCCCTTCACGGGAAGATAAGTGCACAAAAGTGTGTTTATGCAATGCAGAGACAACGTTCCACTAAATCCTTTCTTCCGGGCGGGGTCTGTGCGGGACATGTGTTCAATTCCCCCCGGGTCCGCTTTTCCATCCTTAGCATCTCCTGGCCAACATCGCCAGCATCACCCGCATCATCAGCATCAGCGCCTGCCAAGGATGCGGATGATGAAAGTGATGCTGGGGATGTTGCCCAAGCTGGTGAAGGAAAATCTGGAAACGAAGGAAAATGCATGGAAATGAATGACATGAAGTGAAATGAAAAACAATGGACAGGGCATAAAGGGAAGTGATGCCCCCACTGCTTGTTGTAGTCCTTATACTCCTGCGGGGTCCAGGATGATTGTTTCTTCTTGATGTACTCCTGGTATCTCTCAGAGCTGCGTTTACTGGTTGCAGATTTGCTGCGGATGTAAACCATGAGAGGACTGTGGGAGTCGGAGTCCTGCGAGCCATTCATGAACATTTCATTGTTCACGTGCTTATAGCGCTCTGCGGATGAGACCTGGTAATCGAATATGGCCTTGGTTGGATGGTTCCGCATGAATTCCAGTTGTTCATCATCCATACCGTTCATCTCGACCTTCCGGAAACCCTGCTGGATGTTCGTTTTGCCCCATCCAAATACGATAGTCATCATCACAGGGTGCACGAAGTCTCCATTGCATACTCCATTCTGTCCACGAGTGGCAAATTCTTCGTTGCATTCCACAGTCTCTGATATGCTCTCATGAGGATGTTCACGAGACCGTTGGTCGGATTGTAGACATGCTGGAGTTTGCTGTAGGTGTTCGCCGATTTGTTGGCGTCTCCGGTGATCGCGCGCATCGGTACAAGGTCACGAGCGGCGTGACTTCATTCTGAAGATCTTCCTTTGCTGCTCCATGGCTAATTGAAGGATGGATGTGGAAGACTCCAATGGTTGCGAATGGGAGATCTGCCCTCGTTATGTGGCGGTCGTCACACTCGTGGAGTGACTTGTCGATCTAGAAGGAGCAGTCGATTACCTAATGGATCCTGTTTCTGGTAACAATGCCAAGAACCGACAAGTTCATGGAGCACTGTCTCTTCATGTAGATGATCTTCTTATGACGGGGGATGACGTGTTCGAGAAGGAAATCATGGGACGACTTCGGAAAGATTTTCAGGTTGGTTCCGAGGACAAAAATGATTGCCTCTTCGTAGGACAGCGCATCCAATGGAAGCAAGATGACAAGCACGGTTGGTACATCAATGTTCATCAGAACGTTGCCATCGACGAACTGCAGGAGATCACTTTTGACAAACACCTGAAGGACGACACTCCTCTTACTCCACAAATGCATACTGCATACAGAAGTGTCCTAGGTCAGATCAACTGGTTACAGTCGCGAACGCAATTCCACATTGGTTATCAATTCTCAAGGTGTGCATCCAAGGCATCATCACCAACCATTGAGGACGTTCGCGCCATTAATAAGACAGTCAGAACCATCAAAAGCACCCCGCTTAGCATGAGATTCTGGCCCCTTCGTGGCAAGACACGCATAGTTGGCTATCCAGATGCATCCTATCGCAACAACGAGGATAAGTCATCCCAGCGTGCGCATGTTATTTTTCTTGCAGAACAAAGAGATCTTCGCCAGGGCTCATCGAACTCGAGAGGCTCACTGGTCGACTATGAGACGCACAAGATCACCGCCACAGCCATGTCCACTACTGTTGCAGAGTTGCATGGACTAATGCGTTGTTACGGTTCAGCATTATTTCTTCGCGGTCTCTGGTCAGACATAACGGGCGAAATTGCAGACGTACACATCCGCACTGATGCGAACAATCTTGTCACCACAGCATCCACAACACATCAACCGGAACAGAAAGAAGCAATGCATTTGATCCAGATGTTGAGAAAGGAAAGCAACAGTGGACAGATGCACGACCTTGCACATGTACGAAGTGAAGATTGTCTGGCAGATTCGCTGACTAAGCATTCAGCTAAAGCAGACGAGCTCATCAAGGCCGTCCTCACCGGCAATCTCTTGAATGTACATGCACATCCACCTTTTCGTGCCATGTTGCAGAACAAGGCATTCTTGGTTGAGTGGCTAGCACACAACACGAAGCACGGACCCGACATCATTGCCTTTGCAGGAGTCGGTATAGCAGAATCCATGTTTGCTTATTGGGGAACCTGGGCATGATCCGCATGTCCACGAATTCTGATGCATGAGTTTTTCAGTTTTGCGTATTTTCAATTCCTCAATTCCGTGATGCGCGTGTTTGCACTTGACCCATTTTGAATCTTAAGAAATATGTGTCTGCCTCCGCAGCCACTTTCGGTTTACAACCAATCCGTCCTTTGCAATCTTGTATGCTCGATCACTTCGAAGACATGCCCATTCTCAACATGATCTTCGGACGATCCGGCGATGCGGCGCCTGTGCCAAAGCCGATGATCAAGAGACGGGCGTCACCATTGAAGGAATCCCCTGCTCGTGATGAGGAAGATGAGACATCCGATTGCCCCATGGAGCAAGTCGCTGATGAGAATCCATCCGCCTCTCAACAACCCGAGAATGTCAACATGGAGCAGGTTGATTATGATCGAGATTCCGATGACGATGATTCAGATGAAGAAGGGCATCCTCTCGAAGGAAGGCGTTTGTCACAGGCGATGCCACATCCGAAACTTGTTCCAAAGTCACCGCCACCGACATTGAGGCTTGTCTCCAAGGTCAAGCCAGCACCAAAGAACATCTTGGATGAAGAGACGGAATCCGACAATCATCCTGGTGATCGACCTGCACTTCCAAGGCGACCAGCGATGCGGCCTGTTCTCACATCCAATGATAGGTGGTTTGTAACACATGGATCGGATACAAACATCAGCCTCCAGAAGGAATCCGTACACCCAGGACCTTTCGGAAACTCAAAATTCCTGAATTTTGTGTACGAGTACTACAAGGAATGCTCAACCATCCTCGATGTCAACCCGGACTTCCACTTCGTTCCTGAGCACGAGAGACCACATGGAGTTAAGGTATTCTGGTTGAAGGCAAGATTCAACGATTACTGGCATCCAACACTCCAAGGTGAAGGATCTCATGCAGAGAAGCAATACATGGACTTCATCAAGAAGGCCTACAGCATCTGCTGCTACACCAATGCTCAATCCGAAGTTTACGGAACCGACATCGTCCCGATGGTATGCCACAACGGCAACATTGATCTCGAGAAGACCGTTCAGAATGTCGAACAGGTTTGCAAATATTTCCGCATGGATCCATCCAAGGCGAAACAGATCACAGATCTCATCCTCTGGCGAATTGAGAGAATGAGCAGATCGTTTTCCGGATGTCTTCGACATGATCCAAGGCATGGAATCCATAAGGAATGCAAACGACACGTGGAAATGGGTCCTGATGGATCCGTCGAGCTCTATGACGCATTGACCTGCATCACGCATGCCAGGAACTTCATTGGAAATAAGCCAGGACTTCTCTTGATGGCTATGTTCCCGAGCTATGGAAAATCACGTTTCGAAATTGCGTTCGTATTTCCATCCGTGGACGGGACATATAAGGAGCGCAAGGCACGGGGAGAAATTGTTCCAAGGAATCGATGGGTCGACAAGCTCAACACCAGATCCGCACAAAATGCACTGGGGCCCGATGGCAAGGACTTCTATGTTGATGCAGAGATGGAGTTCTATGTGAGATGCAACAGCGGACACACACGACAAGTCGATATCCAATCCTTTGGACGACCCCTGTACCCTGAGCAGAAAGAGCCTCATTACGACGAACCGGACTATGATCTCCCAACGGAATCTATTCCGCCAAGTCCGCACCCGTCAAGATCCGAGGCGCCTCATGGAGATGAAAGCACAGCTCAGCCCAAGTACAGAATGCGAAGGCCGGCACCACCATCTGTTGAAGAAGAGAGAAAGATCAAGCCGTTCTCGAAGAAGCCCATCACATTCATGTTCCATGCAACCTATGGAAGTCAGCTCTACATGGAGCACGGGCTCAAATCTGGGAAATCCCAGTCAAACCCTTCGGGGAGAATGCACGTCCACATGGCATGCATCGATGACGTCATCCTCGAAGACGATGAGTCAGAAACCGCATTGACCCATGTGCCAGCAGGAAGAGATGCGCTGTTGATCCTTGCATTCCTCAAGGACCAAGACTATGGCATCCGACTCTCCGAAGAGCGAACAGCGTTGACAGACAAAACCATCGAGGCAAGAAACATTGTTGCAGCATTTGAACCTGATGGCAGCCTCATGGCGAGCAACAAGTGGATCATGAAGAAGCATCTCGATCATGAAGACTTCGAGATGTACGACACCAAGATCCGCGAATTCGCCGATGCCTTCTTCAAGCATGTGAATTCCACCAAGCACAACAAAGAAAAAGATACTTCCTCAGAGACCAAGAAGAGACGGTATTCCACCGATCAGGGCCCCACTGAAGGAGAAATGATGGAACCCTCCGGGGAAAGATCCGTCAAGCCGAAGGTCATCGTGGAATATCACAGTTCAACCAACGTGCGACACAAAGCTGTTATCTCCTCGGCTCTCGCAACGAACTGACTGAGATGGATCAGAGTTCGGGTGTTCCGGTGCCTGCAAAGCTGCTGCCAATTAAACGCTGGTCGAGTGCAGGCCTGAACATCGTTCCCTTGCAGGGCCAATTGATGTACATTGTCAAGTAGAGCATGCGCAAAGGCAAAGGTAGTGCCCTCATGCGAA